GACCAAGAGCGTGGATTCACCAGTCTAGCCTGCAGCCTCCTGACATACGGGTGATACGCGATCTTCGAGGTAGCATCCAGGTGCCCTTGCTTCCAGTCTCCGAATAGGAAGTTGAAGAGTCGTGTCATCTCAGCTTGGTGTTCAGCCGTGTTCAATAGTTCTGGGGAGAAAAACCTGATAGTAGCGATAGGAGCTAATCCGTGCGATCATAGAGACCATGCATCACAACCGAGGACTGATCCATCTACGAGTACACGAGGCTTACCAAGCTCTGATATCTTCTGTCTGTGTCCGCTGACACCTATAGGGTATCGCTACGGTGCATGTTGCTTTGGTCTGCGCTGTGTCTGATCTGATATCTACCAGGACTCCCTTTTCCCTCCGTGGTAATGGGTCCGTCTCTGTGTCTAATAATACAGAGTTTCTGCCTTCCAATGTACAATTAACATGACTACGTTGGTCTTTGGTTGACTGGTCAACTGTTTGAGTATGTCTATCGCATGCAGCTTCCTCAGTCATAACATGTACATCAGTACGTACTGCTGTGTCTGTTTGAGTGGAGGCATCGACCTTCATGCCAGTGAATGCAATGGGGCGATCTACTATGATGCTCGATGTCTTGCTCCGGAATAGACGAGACATGATATTGAAAGGCTACCATAGTGGAGATGCATTGACAACTCGACTGGATCGACACACCAAGCATGCCGCCATGAAGAAAACACTAGTGAACAACCTGGGGACCCCAGGCTGGGGTATAGCCATGAACAAGGCCCTTCATCTCGGACCTAGGAAAAGCTAGATTGGGGCGATCCATGTATCCTACATACCCTCTCGACAGGGGCCCGGTGGTTCGGTCTTCCACAAGCCAACACCATACAAGATTCACAAATGATAAAGAGGAGGAATGAGGACATGGGAGTGGCCAACCCACGTTGGCGATATCTCGTAGCATTTGCAAGCTGGCTGTGATAACATGGAAGGTAGTTGTGGATATTGTACCTCTACCATGCGGAGGCTCATGAAGCGCGCTAAGAGCACTATTTCACTGTCCAATGCCCACCTGCGAAAAGAACGATGAGACTGACACAAGCATAGAAATACCGATTGAGCTGAAGGCTTCTAAATATATCCCGAGCGGCATCTCTCGTGAAGAGTTCGAAGCCGCATTGGGTACCTCGAGTGGGCTGGCAGGGACATACCATAATGGGGACTTTCCAACCATCAGCCGTACAATGAAGTGAAAACCAGTCATAGCACATTTCGAATTGGGCTCCGCATTGCTACAGCGTCAGTGGCTCTGAGTTGCTCCCTCGCACCAAAGATATGGAAAGTGAGGAGTCACTACAGAGCATGAGAAAGAGCTGCATCAACTAAACTAAAGAACTGGCAAACGTGTGGCCTCCAACACCGACCGCTGCCATGCCTGAGTCTCTATCCATAACCTCCTCAAGCCGAGCAAGATCGTCGATCCTAGTATCACCGTCTGCATCTACCATTAGGATACGACGCCCACGGGAACATCCATAGCTGTAAGAGCACCACTATACACTCTCTCGCTCCCCTCAGACCTACTGCCGCACCCTTCCCCATGTTCCTAGCGATCCCTGCCACCCGCGTGGTTATGTCAAGTCCACTGATGCCTCCTAGTAAATTTCCTTGATGGCGTTCTGGGGACTATCGCCAGACCAGGATATTCGAGCAAAATAACTCCTCCGTACGATGTGAGGGAGGAGTGGTGCGGTCATTACGGTGATTGGACCCCTTCAAGCGTTGTGGCCTCCATCCTCGATTCGATATATGGATTAATTATGAGCACTAACGCAGCAACTACAGCTGCTACCAGAAGTACTTCTGGGACCAAAAAGGCATCTAGTGGTAGCATAGAAAACAATGACGAGACAACAATTCCATGGGAAAAGCTGCATGTACGAGGGCTCACGAACTTGGTATGTGTTACCTCATCGGACTTCTTCTGTAGCGTCTGTTCGAGTTACTTGACTGTCTCGTTAGTCTTGTCTCTGAAACCCTGCCCCATCCCTCTCCCTATGCAGCTAGAGGCGTATTACAAGTCTGAAGTGATGAACTCCAGGCGCTTCTCTACATTGGACACAGCCTCGTCCCTTTCCTGCCGTACCTGGTGAGAATAATAAGTCGACAAGGCACTCAGTCCCGTTGTCTACCATTATTGGTCCGACGAGAATCCAGATTACACCATTCTCGTCGAGGACGTCGAACTCTTAGGAGGAATAAACATCTCTATGTTAGCGCTGGCCCTCGCAACCACCTTTTTCACTTGTTCACTCTCACTCTTCTGTGCCGTGAGTGTGCGCACCTTGCCATATAGCTTCTGTAGCCCTAACCCAACTCAATGCCCAGCGAACGCTGACGCTCCTACTATTACGATCCTGTACGTCCTGTATCTCAGTGACTGTATCCCGATATTGGTTCTGTAACGGAGTTGAATGAGTTGCCGATATGATAGACAGCAAGTAGAGCGGTCATATTGGTGGATACTCCCAGAGTGATACACCTTCCCCGATGCTATCCCACCTGCTGCGGGTCATCCATTTAGTAACGACGCTACTAGAACTCAACACGGAGCTCTAACTCGGTAAGGGGGTAAGACAAACTCAGCAGACTCAAGTTGAGACAATTGTAAACTCAGATATGTGGAAGCGTGATGATAACATTAATCAGTATGCGTCACAGTCCCACCTATGCATGACTGCAAGCCTTGCAGTGCAAGGTGAAACCAATCGGCATTTGAGTAACGGTTTAATGCTTCATTCGAAAGCATCCTCGTTTTTCTTGACTATGTAAAGACACGACTTGGAAACACTACGCGTGACAGCACGAGACGAGAGACGTTAGAGCTAGAAGGACTCCGGCCTGGCGAAGATTGATCAGTAAGTCTAAAATCACCACTCTCGCCACAGTACTAGAGTGAGCCAACGATGTAACATGAGAGAAATTTCCCGAATATAGACTGTTTTGACGCGCGCTAAAACAGTAATCGAGCCCTGCTGGACATCCCAGCTCCTTTAGAGCTAACTAGTATTAGTCATGTTCCTCAGTCTTCCAGCATAGCGCGTTCTCCTCGTAGGCTCTGATCTCACAACTGGCGACACCTCTTCTTAGTTTCTCGTGGTAGCTCTCCACAATGTCAGCGGCATCCGAAGAGCAGATCCGTCCTGGATGCTCGATACACGATGTACAGTTCATGTAGTATACGGGGCATGGGGGGGCTTTGGGGGAGTAGAAGGTGTGCTCTGCTGGGGGGGGATAGATACGAACTCGTCAATATGCTTTTTGAGGCTGTACAGAGGTTGTCGCGGCAGGTACATGTCCCCGAAGGAGATTCAGGACATATCTGTTAAGGAAATCACAGAGGTTGCTGCGTTCGGCAATCTGGCGGGTGCTCCCTTGCCTGATGGATTGTAGTCTTCTAAGGAGGAGTTTAAATGTCAATGATGCATCTGTTCAGATACGATCCCGCACTGGGACCCCTTCACATCGGTGATCTATGCAAAACGTGCGGATTAGGGGTAATGAGCTCTCGAGGGTTCGGGGGCCCGAGTGAGGCTCTATTGTCAGGTTCATGACTGCCCCGGTCACTTGGGTCACATTAAACTCGCGACTGATGTGTACAATCCGTTCTTGATACGGACATTGTAATTCGACTCTGTCCTACACCGGGATATTGGCTGCTCAGGTATAACGTGCTCCGTAGAATGTGCACTTCTTGCAATCACTTCCGTGTTCGAAAGGCTGTAACTCAGAGGTGCGACCATCGTGCTCTCATTCTGTAGCCTATGCGAAATGCACAGATATTGTGATCGGTTCAAGCTCATCCTTGCCGGTCTCGAACCCGAGTCTCACGATGTAGTCATGGAGCCTTGCGATGAGAAGACAAAGTGAGATGTACTAGACTTATACTTGCTTACGGGAGTTCTCAGGTCGGCGTTGGAGAGGGATATGACCTCAGACCCCAATGCGGACAGTCGAGAGGCCTTCGTTGAGCATGCTAGTAGGATAATATTCGGGGGTCCGCCAGTCTAGGGCTCTGCTGTAGGTTATCAGGATGGCTCATCATCTTACGTACCGTACATTATGGGCCACGGTGAGGAACAGAACAGGGTCAAAGCCCTGGTCAAGCAGCTGGGCCTCGCCCACAATGAGGTTAATGATAACCTCGAGAAGCTCGTGGGCAAGAATACTAGTTGGGGAATAAGTGATCACTACTACTCTCTAAAGAGTGCATGGTATAGCTGTTGGGCTGTTCAGGTAGCTCAGGCGAGATACAGGCCTGGAACGATCTGGTGGCGGAGTTCGAGAACGAGGTATCGGTTGCGGTATGCCCCAACTGCAAGGCTAAGTCGGAGCTCTTCCGTAAGCTATTGACGACAAGAGTGACGGTCGGTGGATTGTGAACTTCTAGGTGTTGATGGATACAACAAGATCTTCCGGAAACTTCGAGGGAAGGCCGCAGAGAAGTTTGTCACTCCCACCTACGTACAGCTATATTGAGTAATACTATGTGACCGATCTCGAACGCAGGTGCGCAACCTCCTTCACAAGCTCTGGTGTGAGGAGAGGGAGATTTTGGAGTTCCTATTCCCAGCCTCTGTGGGTCGTGGTGAAGACATTTTCTTCATGCAGAATATAGTGGTCCCTCCAAACAAGCTGAGACCTCTACGTTTTGGTGGTGATAGTGATGATAACCAAGGATTCCTACCGGCTTCAACGGTTTGTCTGAAGAATATACTTGAATCTAATCTACTACTCAAGCAGCTACTCGAGACTGACCAGGAGGCTGTAGAGAACCCTAATGACAGGGAAAAGGGTGAGTTATGAAGTTGCTCGTGTCAGTGGAGTCCAGTGTGATATCTTCAGCTGGCGATGCCTTGCCGAACCTTATTTCGGATGAGGATGAGACTATGAAGCCTGTTGACAACACTCCACAGAGAGGGCCTATGACTACTCTTGGAACAGCACTCATTGACTTGCAGAATAACGTAAATAACTATCTAGATTCTGCTAAGAGCGGCAAGGCCCAGAACAAGGTCGTGGCATTTGGTGTACGACAGCTTCTTGAGAGGAAGCAGGGCCTATTCAGAATGAAGATGATGGGCAAGCGTGTTAACTACGCTGCTCGTAGTGTTATCAGTCCGGATGTCTCTCTGGAGACTAACCAGATTGGTCTCCCCATGTTCGCGGCTCTACAGCTGACGGTGCCCGAGCCGGTTAACTCCTTTAACGTAGACTACCTGCGGGCGTTGGTGGAGAATGGTCCCGATAAGTACCCAGGCGCAGCTGCTGTAGTGTTCCCGGATGGCAAGCTGGTGTCACTGAAGGGTCGACAACCCCATCAAAGGAAGGCCATTGCTAGGAGTCTATATCAGAGTACCAACCCAGATAAGAAGCCTAGAGTGGTGCTCAGGCATGTTAGGGATGGTGATCCTCTGCTGGTGAATCGTCAGCCTACCTTGCATAAGCCAGGCATTATGGCTTTGTTCGTGAAGGTAGTGGGGACTGGTCCTTTGAGGTAGTTTGAAAGCTCATGTCAGGTGCTCAGCAAGGAGAAGACTATCCGAATGCATTACTCCAACTGTAACACATTCAATGCTGACTTCGATGGTGATGAGATCAACTTGCATTGTCCTCAAGACTCTAATGCCAGAGCTGAGGCCATCTATATAGCCTCTGCCGATCACCAGTATCTGGGGCCTACTTCTGGCAAGCCCCTTCGTGGTCTTATCCAGGATCATGTTGTCTCTGGTGTATTCCTTACTGCAAGGGATCACTTCATGAGGAAGACTGAAGTTCAGAACCTCATCTACACTGCCATGCGAGCCGCTATAGAAGGCGATACCTCGGGTATTGGTAGTGTTAAATCTAGAGGTCAGGTGACCAAGCTTACAACACCTGCTGGGGTGCCCAAGGACTTCAGAATTGTCATGGAGCCTCCAGTCATCGTGAAGCCACAGACATTGTGGACAGGAAAGCAGGTCATCACCATCTTCCTCAAGAGTCTTATCAAGTTCGCTACTCATAGTACGGATAAAGCCATCGTCAATGGTTTCAATCATCATGCTAAGGCCAAGACCCCTGGCGATCTTTGGGGTGGTGTCAGTGATGGTAACAAGGAGGAGCAGATGGTCACTATTAGAGATACTGAGCTCATAGAGGGTGTCCTGGATAAGGCATCCTTTGGTGCTACTGCCAATGGTCTTACACATCTCTTCTATGAGCTATGTGGCCCTAAGGCTGCTGGGCTACTACTCACTGGTAAGTTGGTGGTAGTCATTGATAAGGGGGTACCTCCTTTCGCTCAGGTATGGGTAGGATGCTCACCCTCTACCTCCAGTACCATGGCTTCACTTGTGCTATGAGAGATCTTCTAATCACTCCTGAGGGTGACGAGGCAAGGTTGCAGATGTTGAGGAAGGCTAGGGAAGACTCCTGGAATAAGATCAGAGACTGGGTGAAGGAGAACAGTCCAGAGGAGGCTAATGTCAAGACTCTACATAAACTCCAGAAGGAGATAGGTACTTGATGGAATATTCGAGAGGTTGGGGAGGGAGTGGTATGAATGATCAGGCAAATTGTATGCTGCAGACCCCAAGGTTCAACATCCCATGTTCGAGGAGCTAGAGGAGACAATGCTGTCTACCAATAGGGATTACTGGGGGAGTAACGAGGCGCTGGTGTACTCACTAGGATGGACGAGATATCTGCGTTTTCAGAACTTATCGACATCCTATTCCCTAAGGGCCAGGTGTCTCCATTCCCGGATAACTGCTTCTCGGCTATGGTCAGCACAGGTAACGTCATCTCATAACATGCTTACTCATATGGATGCTGTGTAGGTGCTAAGGGTTCGAAGGTGAATCACTCAATGATTGACGCCATGTTGGGCCAGCAGGAACTGGAGGGACATCGTGCTCCTCGTATGAGGAATCAGCGATTCCTTCCCAGTTTTGCCCAGTATGATATCGGCCCGAGAGCTGGTGGTTACATTACCGACAGGTGAGCATCTATAATGCAGGTCTGAATGTCTCGTATGCTGTGTCTAGATTCCTGACTGGATATCGACCACAAGAGTTCTTCTACCATTGTATGGCTGGTAGAGAGGGCCTTGTTGATACTGCTGTGAAGACAGCAAGGTGAGCAGCCTGGAAGTTCCTCTCCTTCTTATCCAATGCCTTGGTGTATAGATCTGGATACTTACAAAGATGTTTGGTGAAGAACTTGGAGGGTATTACTATCAACTATGACTACACTGTTCGGGATACTGACTCATCGATCGTCGAGTTCCTCTATGGTGAGGACGGTATGGATGTGACCAAGGTCAGCCATTTGGAACAGTAAGGTTACCTCACTGACTTGGGAATACTTCTATTATATTTGCGTTGTTAGATTCGATGTGTTGGATGAGAACTCTGCCTTCATGGCCAAGAGTGCTGCTGTCGCTAAGGAGGAGGCTAAGATGGAGAGCAACTTGCCGGCCCTTTATAGGAAGTGGGCGGAGAAGCCTCAGAGTGGTCGGAGGACCAAAGAACTCGTGAAGGAGGTGAGGGAATCTATACGTGTATTGTTGTCCGATGGTGGCAATCAGGTTGATGCTAGCGATAAGCTGCGAGACGAGGAGAAGGAGCATATCGCGTTTGTTGTGAAGGATACTCATACGAACGGAGGCAAGGCTCCTCCTATGAACAGCATGCTACCCCCATGGAGGTACTACTCCTCGACTCATATGAAGAGAGCTATTACCACTATGCGCTGGTGTTGAAGTACCATGTTGTCCGCCTCAAGGTTCACTGGTGCTATGTCCGAGCGTGAGGAGAATGCATTGACGGAGTATCTCTCCCATAGACCAGAGGAGTTGGAGAAGAAGATGCCCACTGAAGAGTTCCGTGATGTTATCATGCATAAATACGCTAGGTGGGTTGAGCAGTGATCCCTCGTGCTTCACTATAGACCTATTTTCAGGACTCTAGCGGATCCTGGTGAAGCTGTTGGTACCTTGGCCGCTCAGGTGAGATTCGTCTGTTACTGTTAGGCAATGTTAAGTGGTATTCCTTTGTCAGGGTATGGGAGAGCCCTCTACCCAGATGACCCTGAATACCTTCCATCTTGCTGGTCATGGTGGTGTTAACGTCACATTGGGTATCCCTCGACTGAGGGAGATTGTGCAGGTAGGTATCTTACCTCATTGTGGATCACATAGTTTTTGGGCTATTCTCAGACCGCATCTCGACACCTGGAAACCCCTGCTATGGAATTCCCTGTCCTTGGGGGCCTCAAGGTTGCCGAGGAGCTCAAGGTAATGACTGATGGATTGACGTCAATATCAGCATCCATTCACCACTATGTTTAGGGTAAGATGACACGAGTGTCTCTGAAGGACGTTGTAGTGGCGACCCACGTGTTGGAGTCGGTAACTGCCGCCCAGCCTAGTGGGGAGACTATGCGAACCTACGAGCTTGTGGTAAGCACTCTATGCACTGCCATTACGATGCTGCTCTATAAGCTTCCCTCGGGCAGGTTGAACTGGTTGACCCCGTTATGATCCAGAAAGCATATCCTAGCTTGTCACAGACAGCCATTGCTCACTTCCTGGACCATGACTTCCGAGATAAGCTCAACTCAAATCTTAAGAAGTTCATCAAGATATCTGAGAGCACCTCTACGGTGAGGCGTTCCTCTGTGGTCCTCCGTGGATCGACATGGTTCTCTTCAGATCACATCACGTAAGGCCCAGCAAGAGGAGGGAGCAGCTGATGTGTTCAATGAGATTCCCGAGGATGAGAATAATGCTGAGCAGAAGGATCAAGGCGATGAAAGCCAGAACGTCACTCGTACACTAGCCCAGCGTGCCCGAGCTACCGATGAGGAGAGGGAGGCCGAGCTTGATAGGATGGAGGCTGCTAGCGGTAGGCGTGCAGGGGATGCTCTCTGTGTATATTGATTGTGGGTGTAGATGCCGATGATGCTGATGAAGGACAGTATGATGATCTTGTTGATGACGCAGCAGCAGCAGGCGATGATGATAAGAAGGATGATGTAGGAGAGGAGTGGTATGACGTGTTGCAAGTGGTATTATCTCAGGATGAGGCCGAGGAGGACAACGAGACCCCCGCAGCTGAGGAAGGCACTCAAGGGTAAAAAGTCGTATAGTGGTGGCGGTGCCGTAAGCGTTGGTATTTTTAGACCTGCTCTCGGAGGGCAGACTACTGCCGAGGAGTATCAGGTCTCCAAGACTAAGAACTCTACTGAAGTCATCTTCAACAAGTCTGGACGTCTATACGGCCCGAAGTGAGTCTCTTGTTTCTGTTATACAGTGAGTGCATCGATGATTATCCTATGTCGTCGTTTAGGTTTGTTCTCCGTTCCCGACCACTTGAGCTCTCCCAGGGCATCTCTCGGAAGATTCTCATCCTGGAGGCTGTCGCAGATCTTTGCTCTGATCTATACATCCAGCAGACCCCTGGCATCACCAGCGTCCATGTGGTGGAGCCCCGTCCTGGTCAGTCTGATAAGGTCACGATTGAGACTGAAGGTGAGCCTCCCTCGCCCTATGGTTAGTAGCAGTTTATAACCATCCTCGTAGGTGTTAACCTCGATATTGCATGGGGCCTTGATGGCATCGACCATGACCGCATAGTCACCAATGATATTGGTCTTATCTTGGATCGGTACGGTGTAGAGGTAGCAGCGTTCGGGCAATTATGGTATGGTAAATCGTTGTTCCCCTTGCAGGCAGCACGTGCGGCTATAGTTCAAGAGGTGCTCCGAGTGTTCGGTCACTATGGTATCGGTGTCGACCCCAGGCATTTGATGCTCATCTCTGACTACATGACTCATCATGGAGGGTAGTGATAGTATTCGCTTGTGTTTACTAGCAGTAATATTCCTCCCTTCCAGGTTCCGTCCCTTCAGCCGTAGAGGTATGGAGGCTCACGCATCCCCATGGCTGCAGATGACATTCGAAACTAGTGTTAACTTCCTAACTAAGGTAGGGCAGGCTTCATCCGTAGTAGGCTATGCGTGAGCTGTCATCATGCTCAGGCCTGTAACAATGCACAGTATGATACCTTAAAGAGTCCAGCTGGGTCCATCATCGTCGGCAAGCAGGCCAGTGTTGGTAAGTGAAGAGGTGTAACCGCCGCTCCTACTATATGAGTAGGTACTGGATGCTTCGATCTACGTATGGAGATGCCCAAGAGTGTACGGGGACTTGCTAAGGATGAGCTGGCTACTCAGGTCAAGAAGCCGAAGAAGGAATTCGTAGGGAGTCTAGCTGTGGTATTGATCACCGCATGGGCTGTGTTCGATCAGGTCTTCGCGTGATTTATATAGGAGGTCGACCACTGGTGTTGTGAAGGTCGTTAACGTATTTACCAAGAGAGCTCCGATTGTGCTCTCTACTTCACGCTATATAGGTTTCTATCACTGCTATACTCAATTGTGTAGGGTTCAGTCGTTGAGACAGGGTATAGTAGGAGACTGGGTGCTGGGCTGAGCAGACACTGGACAGAGGGGCTATACTTTGCAAATGTCAGGGGTCCCACCTCAACAACAACAACCTTCACTTGGGATGCCCACACCACCCTTCATGGGTATGCCGCAAGGGTCTAGTGGGAAGGTACTATGGGGCTCTGATATGGACCATTATCGGTTAAACTCGCCATTGTCTCAGAGTCCTGCTCCGCCCCCAGGGGGCCTTCCTATGCCCCCAATGGGTATGCCTGGAGGGATGATGCCGCCCCCACCAGCAGGTATAGTAACTTCTCGTTTTTCCACCGATCTACGCATTCTAGGACTTCCTAGCTTCCCTGGAGGACCTGGTGGTATGCTACCTATGCCCCCACCAGGTGGGGCGTTCGGCAACATGCCTCCACCTCCTGGATTCGCTAATATGATGCCCATGCCTGGTGGCTTCGCACCTCCCCAGAGCGGGCAGCAGGGGCAGAACATAGCGGGATCAGCTTCACCCGAGATGGCCAAGATACCCCTGGCTGAGCGGCTAGCTCATGTAGTGTCTCGTATCACATTGATAAGGTCATGTTGGAGTGCATGATAGGATCCTCATGAGAGGCCTCCAGACGACTTCCCTCCTAACGAGACCCTCTATATCAACAACCTCAATGATCGGGTCAAACCGGAAGAGCTGAAGAAGTCGATCCTCGAGGTCTGATGAAGTACAAAGATTTCCTCTAATATGCTTCCATCTCAGCTATGTAAGCCCTGTGGTACTGTAATAGACTGTATTGCGATGCGGTCACTCCGGCGGAGGGGTCAGGTAATAATGGTCGTGGCTGCTCCTGCATCTTCACCGTACTCATAGCAATACTGTTCTTCATCCTGAGTAGTCGTTCTTGTAGGGTTATGTTGCCTACAGGTGTTTGTTGTTTTTTCGTCGAAAAAGGAGTCATCATCAGCGATGAAGAAGCTGCAAGGCCACAGTCTGTAAGAGGGCGATGGAGGCCTTCTGGGTGAGCCTAGTGTCCCTCGGTCAAGGTACAGCAAGAACATGCGGGTGTCGTACGCCAAGACTAAGTCTGACGCGATTGCCAAAAAGGAAGGTAGTAAAGTGTGATTGTATGGGTCTATAGTATATCGTAGGTACATACGTCCGTCGGGATAAGGAGAAGTTGAGGGAGATGAGAGCGGCAGCACAGGCTAAGCTGCAGCCCGAAGCGGCAGCTCAAGCGTAGGTCGATTGTCGGGGGTATTACGGCTATGGGGACTCATTGTAGGGCTGCAGCAGCAGCGGCAGCAGCAGCGGCGAAAGCTGCTGTACCTGGAGGGCCTATGCCGGTGGGTGGGGGAGGCATCACTTGTCTACGGCTAATGCTCATCCTTCTCAGGGTGGTATGCAGCAACCTACACCTCCTAACTTTACAGGCATGCCCTCGGGCTTCCAAGGTGGGATGCATCAGGGGCTCGTGAGTTCCCGTAATACTTCGCCCCCTCCTCCTCCTCCTTAGGTATGCCTTTTAATATTGGACAGCAACAACAACCTGCTCAACAGAAGGTGGGTCGCCTGGCTGACTACACCGTTGGGGATGCCATTTCCTTCAGAAGCTTACTACGGCAGAGGATTTCTTCAACACCGCAGTGTCGGCACCCAAGGTTGTGCAGCATTCTAACGTTCCTAATAAGTGAGGGAGAAGTAATGGGATGTCGCCTCACACCTCTTGGTAGGACACTTTTCGTGGAGAATCTACCCCCGAGGTGCACGCCTGAGAAGCTCACAGCAGTGTTCAAGTCCTATCCAGGCTTCGAGGGCACACGTGTGATAGCTGAACGACAGGTAGTACTACTGGCGGGCGGGGGGCAATCTCGCGAGGCTTGTGCATAGCCGTCTTGACTGCATCTATCGTTGTTGTAGGTCGGGTTCATAGACTTCAGTAGCGAGTTCCAGGCCACTATGGCCAAGAATGCTAGAGGTGACTACACTATGGAGGGGCAGTTGGTGAAGATATCCTACGCTCGGAAGTGATCATCATGCAGCTACCCTACAGCGGATGTTGGGTTAATATTACTTTTATGGTGACGTTCTGGGTATCGGCTTGCTATCGAGTTGTGTTGAGAGTAACAGGAGTGGGGTTCCCCACCCAGGCGGGGTGACGTGTGACCACTCTCACGACCCTATGTCCCTACCGCCGCCGGTGGTGGTATACCTCATCGTGAGAAGACCTATCGAGGCCTCTCTGGGAGTGTCGTGAGTCTCACTGTTATGTTCACTAGACTACCGTATTGTGTCAAGCGCTTATCCGAGCAGGGCGTCGTCCGTGGAGCTCATGGGACTGAACGAATGATGTTATAACTTTTTCCAACCCTGTTCGGTCGTCGTGTTTGAGAGCTGGGGAATCGGTCGGCGAGGTGGCTTTCGTAGTACTATAGTAACAATGAACATCCGACTTGCCCGACGTTTCCTTGATTACCCATGTACATTTTACATGCTGTCCTTCGTTATATCAACCATCCTATTATCAGTAATACTCGTAGTCCTCCCCTACCTGGGAATGCTGTCCTCCTCAGGTGTTCTCTTTTGTACCGCCTGTTGCGCGTTGGTTCGGCCCCGACATAGCGGCCTTAGCCCTTATGACGGTGGTCTTGGCCGCTGGGGATTGCTTATGTAATGCAGGGAAGAACTCGATGAAGGTGGGATAGAACTGTACCATTCCCCATAATGCGTGTGCACAACTTCTTCAATGTTGTAGGTCATTAATGCTTCCATGATATCCCTCTTTCTCGTTGCTATGTGGACACTAGCAATCAGAGCAGTGTTCGATGCCGTCTCGGCTGAGTAAGGCTTCGATTGCCTCTCGACCTGAGCAGTTACTATTTCTATTGCCTAGATACAACTCATATATAGGATCTGTCTGGGCCCTACCCCTTATGGTCCTGCATGCCTTTGCTTATACTGTGAAGCCTGTACGTTACGCCGTGCGGCCCTCGTTATGGGCCATCATCGCTCGCTGGTCTCAGATAAATGAAGTGTACAGTGTCCCCTTGGGAGCACTTATGGTCTGCACTGTGCCAATGTGAGTAAGCGATTGTTAAAGGAGTGGATTGCGTACTACCAGATACGGCGGGATGACGTCGATCTACTCCGAGATCGGTCGCTGCATGCTGGCGAGTATAGCAGCCTCCGTGGTCACCTTCGGGGTCACGTGTATGTTGTCTTTAGTGAGTTGTTGGTTATAGGCGCTACAACATTATCGTATAAGCAGATACGGTGTAGAAGCAGTAGACTGTGTGGATCAAGCAAGATGTCTTTGGCGGAGGCCGATTCGGCATTGCTCACTTACTTTCACACCCTCTGCAACACCTTGATGTCGCCCTCTGAAGTCCAGGAGGTGGGTTCGATCCCTGGGTGCGGCATCTCACTGCTACCTCCTAGGACTATGATCTAGCTCGAGCAGCCTCAGCGGTATGCCAGAAGACTCTCTACCAGGCCTGGAAGCAGGCTGATGATGAGGGAGCTCTGCGTGTATCACTAACGGCTATCTCTATTACAATTAAGCGCGTTCATTCAGGTGACCCATCTACAGGCGGCTTGCTTTGGGAATTTGGTCACGCTCGCTCAAACGGTGGGGAAGTCGTTGTACCTTATCCTTCGGTCAAGGAGGCCTCTTCAGATACACCCACCCCGTAGTGGAAAGCCTCTGTCATTCCCAGCCGCCTGTGGAGGGCTGGTCACTGCCTCCTTCATGCTCAAGTTCACTAGTGTCGTCGCTACGGTCTCCGAGAGTAAGCATCTAGTCGTGGAGTATGCCTCTGAAGTATTACCTGTAGATTCGTTGCCAAGTGAGGAGTTGTTGACTGATCTCATACAGTCTAGTATGAGTGCTCACATCACGCAGGGCTATAAGAGCTCAGCTGCTGATGCCTTCGCACTACAAGCTGCTGTCATCGAGATGGCGAGATTCGTGAGAGAACAATACAGCGCTCCTTGTGGGTTGTTGAGCCCTTGATAGGTAAGAGCAATGAGACGTGTTCGCATGGCCACAACCCAGTATGTTGCCTCGACTATGGGCTCCTTCAAAGTAATGATTAAGATGCTAGCAAGGTAATGCTCCTTCTTCTCCTCCTCGAGTGCTTGTCCCATGTGGGTCATCACAGGAATACCGCATTTCAATGGAAGGGGGTGGTATCGCCTCGGCAATGGTTTAAAGATCGCTCTGAAGCGGAGAGTGCACTGTAGGATGATGATTATGAGCTGAGGTGGTGATGAGTAATATCACTCGGACAGGTACTTTACAATGCGTATTGCTATGATGATGTTGGTATCAACACTACTGTATACAGTATGGGAGGGGAGGGATGACGCCATTGATGCGTAAGTAAAGGGAAGGGGTGTTGGAGGATGACGCCTCCATCATTGTTGTTAGTTACGCCCTCTGGGGCCTGCTGCCTGGCCTCATGATATTACAGTTGCTGCCCAAGGGTGGCGCGGTAGTATTGCCTAACCCCCCAACAGTTCTCCGGTAACCAGTTGTCATCAGATCCGTGCAGTGTATTGTGTAGCACCCCTCTTCGCATGGACCCTCCTGGGCAGTGCCCTCGGGCTAGCCTCTGCCGAGAGTAACCGTGGTAGCATTAGCGCCTACGCCACACAAATGGTAATGTCCCGCCACACCACGATGACGCGTTGGTATTCCCCATCCCAGGTGCTGCTGGCTGCTATCGCTTCCTATCTACATCGTGGATCCCTTAAGAAGGTGTCGGGGCCGATTCTAGCATATCTATCATGGCTCGTAGTGGCCGTGGCTAATAGGAACGATGACGAGGGTAATATTTCCGAAGAGTCTGATGGAATTCGCATATAACACTCCATTCTTTATACCATTATGAATTGGCTCAGGTCGAGATTCCTTAGCCATATGGCATGTGGCACTGTACCGAATAGCCATAGTCTGCACAGGTGTCTTCCTCGCGATGATCTTCGTGGTGAGTGCTCTCCTATTCCCCCATCAGTTAAGGTACTCTCTCAGATGTTGCCCCCACCGTTCCGGCTCCTCCCTGCTCTCGATGGGCCCCATAAGCACCTAGTGCAGACAGCAGTTGACGTCGCCGTCCGGTCAGTGGTTAAGGCCAATCGTTGCTATGCTAACAATGGAGTTAAAGCAGAAGGACAGAGTGCTTTAGCGTAGGGCTCCTATATCTGCATGTCTCCGTGCTGCGAATAGTAGATCACCTTCGGCTCTGTCACAAATGCTCCTAATCACTGCTCGCTTATCATTCGCATTGACAACGTATTGCAGTCTTTCAAAGGTGCCCTCTTTGTCGAGGGATTTCCTCGATGTAGGTACTCCCGTAGCATGAGCCGCCCAATTTCTGTAGCCACCGGAGAGGAGGAGGAGGAGAAGCCACAGATAGCAACCTATTCGTCTCCTATACCTCGAGATGGAGCCCTAGAGGGAGTAGATCCTCACTCACTTGACTTACTGGTGAGCTCCCTAGACCTTGCGCCTGTTAATGCTCAGCACAGGTGCATTTCCCGCCTGCAACTAAGCCTTTGCTACGTCAGAGCAAACTTCAAGATAATATTATGCGACGAGGCGGCCACTCAGCTAATGTCAATGATGCCTTGGTAGCTGCCGAAGCGACTAGTCTGAGTTCATCATCGCTGTCGTCCGCTTCCCAGGTGGATCTGTCATATGCTGCGTTAGCAGTGGCAGGACCGGCCAAGGACTGTCGGCTCGGCAGGGAGGGGGCTGCTGTAGCTGGTGACCTCATCGTGAGGATGGAGGAGCTACTGGGAGCCATAAAGATATCTGAGTAGGACTGGGGTACAGGGTATCGCTGAACACTATTGTGGCGTCAGGTCTAACATCGATATTACTACAGCACAGCAGCTAGACAGTTCCAGTTGGGTGAAGCAGGCTGTCATGAGGCTCAATGTAGAGCTTACTAAGACACGCACAATGTTATGGGCTGGAACTGTGGATAAAACCGACAAGGCGGCGAGCACCATAGGTAGTACCCCACCGCGTGGTGCGAACTCATGCATATTATAGTTTTTCAGACCCGGCCGAGAAGTTCCTGCTTACAGGTCTGTTGCAGATAGTCTCTCTGGCAGCTCATCTCGTCCATTTTGGTGATTGTTGGATGCGTCTTGAGGAGGTTGTTGGTACTAAAGTCGTACCTTGGTCCTTCCTCCGTATTCCCATATCAGGCATAGAGTCCGAAGTCATTGTTAGCAATACCGTCACTAATCCCTTCATTAGTCGTGGCCAAACATCGACCGAACTCGGTAAGCCCCGGCAAACACTGTTTCCCGACTGTTAACTCGATGGGGTTGACCATTGCGGTCCATCTCAGTTCGAGTACCATCATCCGGGGAGCATCACGACCTTCCGCCGTTCGTCGCCAGGTCGAGATCAGCACATCAATTCGCAAAGAGCAGTTACGAAGGCCTCTCCAGAGGGGTCCGTCAATTTGGACGATAGTCCTATCAGTTGTTAATCGCTGCATTTACCATCTAAAAGAAGGGCATTGTAGCAACACTTTTTTGTACTTCATCATCACAAACTTTTTACTCCATCTCAAAGGTTCGTCTCATTTTACATATCAACATAATGTTGCGTTCATAGTAGTACCCAGACAAGCAGGTGAAAGTTGCTGATAGCTCAGGAGATAAATGACATATCGATTTGACGTGCTAGCCTTAGAGTTGACACGGAGCCTAGAGGACGGGCTGTAAAAGTGTAGATGCGATTCACTGTAGAATGTGGATGCACTAGTAATTATCGTGGGGCATACTGTGAAAAAGGAAAGTTGAGGATGGCAATACTCTCCCGTGATCTCTGCAAGTGCCATGAACCTTGGTGTATGAATATCTCTCGGCGATGAGATACGTCATACTTCATCCAACAACGTCACAATGGCATAAGATTGAACAGTAGGACGGCCGACTAACAGGCGGACATCATGATAGTGTCATTATCGAGACCAGCATATGTTATTTACTTGACGTTCCATTATTCCATTACAGAGTGCATCGTTATGGTATCTTATTCAATGCTGTCTGTCATCTGTAACTTTGAGATTCAGAAATTGTTGTGAGACCTTCAGTGTAGCAGAGTTTTCATTGCTTCTCTAATTGTTTGGATCACTTGGTGTGTAGGGTCGAATCCTCGGGTGCTGCTAGCGTGAGGCTGTTGTGTGAGGTCCTGATGTCTACAATTGTGAGGTTTCAGTGTCTTAATGTTATCTCTTGTTGTCTATCGAGATTCAGCCTTCAGTCAGTATTTTACTCCATGCATTTCCATCGTCATCACAAGCATCGTATCTCTCGCTGGGTGCTCAACAAGCAGTGTTCGAGTGTCAGACGAGGTGCGAAGTCGGTGTTCCCTTCCAGAAAGTCCAAGTCGAGCACCGATCTCCTCGCCAACTCAGATTCCACCAACGTGAAGGCCACCTGTGGGCAATCTGTGCAGCGATAATCTCGCATTTTTTTGGCGTGGCATCTAAACTGCTGATGTGTCTGCTAGCGACCGCTGATAGGTTCTGTAGACTATTCTACTGCTCTGTATAACTAACGATGACACTGTCACAGTATTACTGTGTATAAGATCTATTCATGTGACTGGTACTTTGAACTACAGCTGGGGACGACGACGAGCTGTTAGACTTGGCTTATGTGTAAGAACGTTTTGGTCGGTATATAATCATGTCATCCAGGAGGATGGTTCGAACATGGAAACCTTTCAAGCACTTCGATTCCGCCCCATGTTGTTGACCTCTCGTATGGGCGTCAGTTTTGTTGTTCGCATGTCATCCGGCCGGAGTTGGGGAGCTAAGAACAGGATTTCTCTTCGACAAGCTCAAAAGTACTCAATCACATGGCCACTTATGACAGATCTCGATACTCCTCTGCAGCGCTTCTTCCGTAGGAGTACGGCTTCTGGTAGTTATATTCGTCATTTGGTACTTAATTCTGAGATAACCCATTCTTCGTGAACGCATCTTCCTTCCCATTCATTTGTATGGTTATCTGATACCATCAATTCTCGTGAAATCCGATTCTCAAGTTGCTCAAGTCATTGCGTTCAAACATGAAGCAAACTAATCCTTTGTTATATGTCAACGATGTCAAGTTCGGGATAATGAAGGACTTCTTCCAAAGAAGTGTCCTCCCGTATTGCTTCACGGTGGAACAAGTGTGTATATACAAGAGAAATCGTCCAACTATCCTTCGAAACACCCCAAAACTCAATCCAGTGATCTCCAAAATGCACTTACGGCGTCTCATAATCTTGAACAACTAAATCTCTAAAATGCAGTGGCGATAACCCAAGAAACCATCGTAGGAATGAAGATAGAAAGCACACGACGGGAATCAACTTGTAACAAAAGATATCTCGCTAGCATCTTCTACTCTGTTCTGCAGCTTGTAGCGTCAAGGTGATAATTTTGGATACAATCAGTATAGTTCATCTGTTGAGAGAATGGATCACCATAGTAACATCGAGACCATTCCCAATTATGTATGGCATATAGCGTACCGTTAACATCGAATAACTTATTGTACTGCTCCTGTGTGACGATACCTGTTGGGACCATCAAACTAGTGAGATCTTCTAACTGATCCCACACATACTCGATACCACCATCAGGATCGGGATATTTACTCGTATCATAAGCACACATAGAAAGTTTACCACAACCATTACCCATCTCGCAGGAGCCTTCGACCATGATAGTGATCTTCGCTCTCAAGTCCTCCCATCCGGGCTGCGTACACACGACGCATTGGTCTGTCATCATCCACTGCATACGCTCCAACAAACCATCATTGTTAGTGCCATTAACCGAGTTACGGTATAGCATCATCAATGCCCTATCAGCATTTTGCATGACATAAGTAGTTTCTTGCTGATTGGGCTCACCCTCGATAGTACTACCCACAAAGATGGAATTGGGTAGATAACCCATACCCTCGGTAACATTAGCAATCATCTCTCTCGAACTGGTCAACGCTTGTAAGTAGTAATTATCAGGGACATGCTCCACATCAAAACTGATACCAATAGGTGCAATCTCTGCCATATCCTGGGCAGAAACCGAGCGAATAAGGAACTGCTCGAAAGTGTTTACGAAGGCGCACATCTTTTGACCATCCCTTTCGGTGACATCACCATACGTCAACCAAATAACAGCATCGTTCCCACTATCCTGACGCCACTTCTTCATCCAAGCAACCAATTGCGGTTGATACTTGATGATGTTGTAGTTTGTAGGATCAGCCACGTTGATGTAAAGCTCACCACAATTCCACGTCCGTCCCATATCGCTTGAAATGAAGTCAGTTAGAGCAGGATCTCCTTCACTCCAGTAGTCTTGAGACCAGGAATAAATGCCTATCGGGCGACCAGTGCATGCATTGGTAGGTGGAGGCCTAGTTGTTGGAGGGGGGCCTGTGGTCTTAGGGAACGTCGCCTGCTGATTCGGGTCCGAGGGTAATTGAGGAGGTAGAGTCTCAGGGCTACTGTCACTACCCGAGTCGGTTGAACAACCAGAAAAGCAAAATGCCAATATGACCGACACCAACGCCGGGAAGAATTTCATATTCATAACAGTATGGTGCTACCTTCCAAGTGCAATTCACAGCGAGGTATTGTGAGGAGTGTAACACAACTTGGCTTCGTTGTACTGTCCCGCGTTGTGCATCTACCAGGATCGAAAGTCGATGATGCTTCTAGGAGGTGATACACATGGAGCCAATGTAAGCTTGTAACTATTTCGTGTACATTCTCTCATCGCTGTAATTTGATAACTCTGTGGAGTATGAAGATACATTACGGTGGGGGGTGATAACACAAGAATTGTCCCAGATTCGACTTGAATTCTCGACGCTGTTGTTGAATTTTGGTAGAACATCAATCGTGATTTATGTTTCGGTAAACTGGATTCTATGGGACATGATTCTAAGTGATTGAAGACTTCACATG